AACTGATTGTCTTTGTGCAGGAAAGTGGCTTGCAGAGTTGGGTCCCCTTTGGACATTTATCAATTTATGCTAAAGTCATGTGACAACACTTAGGCAGGACAGACATCAAGCGGTCATGTTGCTGAAAGGTTGAAGGCAGAAGAGGTGTGCCTGCCAGCATGGCTGAGAATTTCCACTGTGAACATAAGAACTGTTTCCTTAGCATTTCTGATCTAGAATTGTAACTGTCAACTTCCCTAATAAACACCACAATCATGAGTATTTTCTGAAAGTTCTGTGTTACCACTACTACAGATAACCAAACCCAGTAGAGAATTCGAATGTCATGGAATGGACAGTGGTATCATAATAGGGTAAAGACGTTTGGAGGGCAAGGCATGATTGATCTCTGCCTCATAGGAATCATCTTTGGGTTGATATGAATGGAATTCTCTTTCCCCTTTGTGTTGTACCAGCAGCTCCATGGGAGAAAGACTGGCTTTCTACTCCCGCAAACAGTTACAGTCTTGGATTCCTACAGTGGGTCACTATGAGTTAGCATTTACTCATGGCCATGATTTTGGTTTTGGTGTTGTGTAGTAAGAGCAGGTCAGACAGCCCCTAAACCATTCAAAAGAGATCAACTCAAAACACACCACTAATACAGCCTTAGAGACAACCAGTCCTAAAAGGTATTATAACACCTGCATAGAGGTGAGGAGGAGGACTGGATATGACTAACTCATGTCTCATTTGGTTATTTTACCATAAGTGTTTCCATTCCATTTGAAGAGTCATTTTTCTTTTTCTTTATTTCCTGTAAAAAACTTGGCCTAAGATACAAGCATTTCTTAACAAGAAAAAAGTCAGTTTTATTTATTTTGCTCCACTTATTTCAATTCATTTTTTTACACTTGTACTCAATATGTTTTTATTTTATTATTTCTTCCAAAATGATTTTATTGTGAGCTAATACAGATATCCTATCATTCCGTAGTTCAGTCACATCGAGCAGTGTTGTACAATTGCTGCCACAATCAGTTTCAAGACGTTCTTGAACTCCTTCACATCAGCTCCCTTGTATCCCCCAGAAACCCTTATTTACTTGTGGTCTCTATAGGTGCATCAATCCTGGGTTTCATACACTGAAAAACAAACAAAAAAACCCATATAACAAATTTAAGAGGGTTACTCCCAATGACAAAATACACCTGAGATTAACCCCAATATGAAAAACAACAAGAAAAAAATGGCACAGAAAATGTTAAAAACCAGATCAGGCCCAATGTGCATCAGAGGAGGTCAACTGACAAGGTTTTAACCATTCAGGTCAGGTTTATCATTTTGAGCTCTTATAGTCATCTCTCCAATGCACTTTGTCTGGTTACTAGTTCAATTCTCTTTTGTGGTTTGAAATGGCCAATGTTAAATAAAGATTATCTGGTGTGAACAGATGTTTAGTCATACTGTTAAACATGATTTTGCTGGTTTAAGTTATACCCTTTGGAACTTCCTGATTAAATTCGCTTTAAAAAACAAAGCCAAAATGAAAATATATGTATTTTCTAAGTTTGTACTTAGAAAACAAGTTGTTCTTTCAAATATATTCTGGGAATCCTGTCACTCACCACATCCTGTCACTTGGCGCCCCTTTTTGCAAAGGAAGCTAACTCCTTGAAAAGGTGGTTAGCCCAAACCCTGCCATGTACAACTTTGCAAATAGTATAAAATCACAAAACACCCCCAGCGTGCCCTGCTTGCAGTTTTTAGCCAGATGACCATATGCATTACTGTTTCCTAGCATTACTACTAGGGTGCCTTAGCTATTTGTTCCTTGTTTTGAAACTGCCTTTTCTGTCAATAATAAAGTATGTTTTAAATGTTAAACAGACTTGTAGTTCTTTCCCTTCAAAAGAGGTTAGGAACTATAGCATATATTTTTGGAATACACTATTCACAGACTGTTTTAGAAAACTGCCTACCATAGGGTGTTAGATGAAAGCACACTCTCTTTGGTCATCTTCCTGCATCAGTATCAGAACTTAAAAAAACAAACTCACGGCCATCAAGTTGAATCTGACTCACAGAAACCCTATAGTACAGGGTGGGACTGCCCCCAATGTGAAAAGCTGCATAACCAACGCCAGTGTTGACAGCAATTAGTTTCTGTCTTCTCAGTTGCTGTGGGCATAATGGTAGCCACTTCCTTGTTTAAGCTGCAATAGACCATAGTGAAGTCCCAAGCACTGTAGCTTTCAGAAGTTAGGTAACAGAGTAAGAATGCTAGATACTTTAACGTCAGATATTTAGAGATCTAGTATGAGATATTACTTTAATTGTACAATCTAGGAAATGGTTGGAAGTGCAAGCTCTTTGTAGTTGTACATTGAGTCTTTCATTCGGCTTTAAAGACGCTAGAAACTGGGTCATAAAGAAAGCAACAAACAGTGTGTCTGCATACTTATCAGTGTAGTAGGTTCTTATAAATTATTCTGGCCACAGACTAAACAAAACAAACAGAATAAAATGGGACAAAACAAAACAAGGTATTTTGTAAGATCAGGTACCTGGCAAGCTCAGGAATGTCTACAGTCCCTGACAAGACCTTTTGTGGTCAAGGCCTCAGATCGCAGTTTTGTCTTTTTTTATCCTGTCCTGAAATCTTCTAAACTCCAGTCTGGTTTTTATATCAGTCCATTGCCTTGTCTAGGTTTTTATATCAGCCCATTGCTGATATAAAAGCACTGTGCTGCTGGAGTAGTTGAAGTCAAGGTTGAGTTTTGCATCTGCAAGTCCTATCTCACATAGCTCTGCCTGTCTATGTAAAATTATGTCAGTTCCTTATGTTTTAGTAACAAAGCATAAGAATTCAGCAATAAAGTGTAAGAACTCAGTAATAAAGCATAAGAATTCATAACTACTTGTTCCACCTATTGTTGGCCTCATGGCATCTAGTCACCAGCTATTTGTAACTTCTCAGAGAGACTATTTCTGATCTCAGGGATGGCTCCTCTGAAACTTGGAATGAAGGCTATCTCTTCCTGACAGCTAACTTTCATGCAAAATAAATACAAAGCAACAACAACAATAACAAAAAATTCACTGCCATTGAGTCAATGCTGACTCATAGTGACCCCATAGGACATGGTAAAACTGTCCTTTTGAGTTTCCAAGACTGTAACTCTTTATGGGAGTAGAAAGCTCTGTCCTCCTGAGGAGTGGTTGGTGGTTCTGAACTGCTGACCTCACAGTTAGCAGTTCAACGAGTAGCCATTATGCTCCCAGGTGTCCCCAAAGTGGACATAGCCATACAAATCTTTGACTCATACTAGCTGTATATAATAGATTTATTTGGGAAAAATCTTACAAGCAGAGATGTAGTGGAGTATACACCAGAGAGAAAAGTCTCCTGTTTGGGAGATTCTAATTTTGTATCACAGCAAGAATTTCTAATTCCTTCCTTGGGTCTTGAAACTTCCAGAAAACAGTTCTTGCATGTGCCAGCCTTTGAAAATGATGACAGATCCTGTGGCTAGCAATTGGCTCCAAAAATGTAGTCTCAAAAATGGAGGTTACTGAATACTTATGTATTTTGAGTGCTTATTATTAGAAATCAGAATTCTCACTTGTCAGTAATATTTTGCTTTTACAGGTGGCTATGCACCATTTCTTTCTTTGACTAATAGAGAAAGTTATTTTACTGTTGGCTGTAACAATGAGAAAGCTGTTCCAGGTCCAGGACACTACAATGTTTCAAAAGCACAGGTAAAAATTTAAATGTTTGAGTTAATAAAAATCATATGTTCTTCTTCTAGTACACCACAGTGCTTTTTGCCACATTTTATTTTCCCCCTATAATATCCTCTTCTTCCTTTTAATCTACATTTCATACTTAGAATACTAGAAAAATATGTTCAATGTTGATTGTGTGATTGTGTAGCTTTACTACTCCATTATATTCTAAAAAGCACCAAGCCTTGTTACATGCTGCACAGTCTTTGAGACTTTAGAATAGGGTCATTGCATGGTTTATGGCCCATGAATGTTGAGCAAATGGTCATTTCATGTAGTAGAAGGATGGTAATAGTGATGGAATTGGTTTCTGTCTCATATGTTACAGCTATAGCTATTGCCATCATCTCATCCCTACTATTTCTACATACTTCTAAGTTTGTGGCCAGAATATCTTTAATAGTTCATTCCTACTCAAAAACAGTGGTTCAATTCTAATTTCTTCATTTAGAGATAGTAACTTTTACCCTTTAAGTATAACTTTTGCATTTATATTTAGTGGTTCTTAGCTGATTCTAGCAAATTTTTAACTCTGTTGGGCACTCAGAATCAGTCAGTGACTAGTCTTCCTGAATTGATAATAGTAATCACTCAACCAGCCTTTTAGTGGTAAACAGTATAAAACATTTTTACGATAGACAGGCGGGTGGGGTGGGTGTTGGCGAATAACAAGTTTATAGGAAAGTCACTGGGGTGCCTTACTGATTCAAATGAAGAATGGAATAGTTAGGTCTCAAGGAAGGACAGGGCCAAGACAAATCCAGGTATTTCAGGAACTGAGCTTCTGGACCATTTCAATAGGGACTACCATTAAATAATTCAGTTCTATAATTCCCTCCCATTTAAAAAATGTATGTGTTTCACTGAAGATTACAATTCCCAGCAGGGAGCATCTGATTGCCTAGTTTTTGGTATGAATCCATACCAATTCCTGGGAGTAGAGGACCTTGTATTTACCAATGGATTCAAAACCACAAAGTATGAGGGAGGTTTGATTACCACAAGAATGGGAAATATACTGTTATGAGCAGATGATGGAAGTGATTCTGAGCAGATAAAATCAATATATTTTCATTGTATTTCGTCCCTTGACTTTCCAACTTCTCTCATGTATACAACATCCACACAAACACGCACACAGTTTTCCCCATACATATAACTTTTAAGAATGCAGTTATGCAACACAATGGTTTTCATTATACATAAGGAAGTATACATGCTCAGCAAGCATGCCTCCCTAGAGGTATACTTCTCCCTAGAGAAGCCAAACTAACTACAGAGTCCACAGATGACATTACGGTGTCACTGTAGAGCAAGTCTTAGATCTCTAGATGAAGGACATTTCTTCTCTTGTTCTTTGACATTCCTGTTTCTTTTCTTTTCCTTTTCTCTTTTTTTGGGTGTGCGTGTGTGTGTTGGCGTAAACACGTAGATTAAATTATAAATATAGCATGAAATAGTAAAAAGAATTGATTAGGTTGTGTGCTCTGGAGTTAGCCTGGGTTCTTAAATATCTCTGTAACTTCACAACTTCATCTTAACCAGTTAGCTCTCTGGGCTTTAGTTTCCTCCATTGTTAAATAGGGATAATAACTTTATAGAGTTGTTTTAAAGATGAAATGGGTTAGCAAGCACTTAGAATAGTGGCTGAGTATAATTAGCAATCAATGAATTTCTGCTATTCCTTATAACAATGGTAGAGGTAAAAAAGAGGGAAAATGAACTAGATGTAGGAAGCAAGTAAGCCTGATGGGATCATTGGTCTTATTTCTGCATCTGATCATGAAGCTCTGAATGGCTACGATTTTCCACTCCTCATTCTGTGTTCTCCATATCTTCAACCAGGGCATTATATGATGGAGCTTGGCACTTAATGGGCTGACCCACATCTTCAGTTCTATGGCGTTTGAGTTCTTGGTCATCCTACCTCTCATGCTTTTTAATGGCATTCTCTTGGCATTTGCACTGCATACAGGCAGTGCTGCAATAAACAATGCTTAGAACAAACCTGCACAGAAAGCCAAACTGCTGCCCCAAAGCCTCCATAAATGTCCTGGGAATGAATAACATAAAAGTGTTATTCATGGGGAGAAAAATAACGATGACACAGAAGAGACACACCAAAAAACATCAAAAAAGACTGTTCTAAACATTTCTTTAAGGACTGATTTCCACCTGAAATACCTGTCAGCCTTTTGAAGCTCACTTCAGAGGCACAGTCTCGGGTGGGGCTTGTGAAACACATTTGCTTTGGTTTGGTTTTGTAGGCCTGGGTTTCCTTTCACCTTTGATTCCTGTTCTGAAATGGAATTTTTCTCTTTTGTTTTGTGTTTTTATAGCACCCCTGGGTGGCACACTGGGCTCAGTAGAGGGATCTAACTGCAAGGTCCGTAGTCTGAAAGAGCCTTTTCTGTGGGGTGAAAGATGATGTTGTCTGTTCCCTTCAAGGTTGAAAGCCTGGGGAACCATATCAAACTGCTCTACTCTGTCTTAGAGGAGGGCCACTCTGAGTTAGAGTCAACATGAGGCAGTCGGTTACATACAGCAAATGTCAGTTTGTGTATTGAGTTAAAACGAAGAACTAATGACATCCTCTCATCTTAGTTTACAAACTCTATTTGCTCATATTAATATTTAGTAATCATCAACTGAGTATGAATTCTAAAATATTTCTTTCATTATATCATAGCTTGTTTTTCTCTCTTTAATTTAGTTCGATGTAAAAGGAGGCCGTAGTCTACAGTACAGTGACAAACGTTTTAAGAGGTTTATTTCAGACGGTCCGGGACCTGCATGTTATGATCAGTCTTATCCTAGAAAAATACACTTCAAGAACAAGAAAATACCTGAGGATAATGGACATTTTCAATGGGTGTGTTTTTTATAAATTATGCTTCAAAAGTCATTTATTTTAGTTAGAAGAAAACAGAAAAAATTATTTACATGTGGAATATGTTTCTAAAGCTTGGCTATCAAAATTACTAGATTTATTATTGTTCAATATTGTAGCTAGTTTTTAATTAAGTGAATGCTCAATGTTTGTAAAATTAATTTTAACTGTATTAACATATGACTTCATTTTTATTTTTTGCTCTTGACAAGTCTGCAGTCAGTTCCAATTCTATGATGAACAGAAAATCGAAGAGATTTTAAAACTACTTGGGTGGTTTGCCTGCAAACAAGGGCAAGTCTAAAAGTATTGCTGCTAGGGTCTCAGTTCATACATGCACAGCTTCTTTCCCCACAAAGCATCTCTCTGTCATCAGTGGATGGCAGCAGACAAGTGGTCTCTCTAATATCCTTGTCTTAATAACTTTTTTTTTGCAGGAAATAGGACAACCGGGGGGAGGGGGAACTTATTATCAAGAAGTTTCAAGAAAACTGAAACTGCATTAGTGAGGAAAAGGGCCAGGAACGTTGACTGAGCACATTTTCTTCCTGTCACAACAATGCACTTCAAGTGTATCCAGGGCTGTCATAGGAGATTTTGTTTGAGAAACGTTAGTCCAGCCATCCTACAACCCTGATTTCCCCCCTGCAGACTTCTTTTTGTTTCCCAAACTCAAAGAACATTTAAAAGGAACACATGTTGAGTCCCTTGAGGATGACAAAACTGGCATTTTGATGTGGTAGAAATCCGAGAGTGCAAAATCCTTCCAGGAATGTTTACAGAGATGGGAACACTACTTTCGAAAGTGTGGGTACCTCAATGGAGGATATGTTAAGCAGTAATAGCTTCACATTTTGACATTTTTGTTTAACTATAATTTTGTAGAATGACTTTTTGCTTACCCTGACATAGAGGAACTGGAAACCTTGCACTAATTACTGTTAAAATACAATGAAATTTAAAACACAGTTTCCAAAATAATAATAGCAACTCATAAAATAAAGTTGAGCGAGACATGTAGATAGCTATTAATGCAAGGCAAAATGGGAAGGTGCTAAATGAAAGATTATACTATTAAATGCTATCGGAATTTAAAAGAGGAGCACTCTACAAGTATTATGGGAAAGTATAGTTTGCATAGGAGCCCCAGTGGCACAGAGATTAAGCTCTAGGCTGCTAATGGAAAGCTCAGAGATTGGAATCCCCCATCTCTTCTATGGGAGAAAGATGTGGTTGTCTGGTTTACAGCTTTGGAAACACTATGGGATAGTTCTAATCTGTTCTATGCGATTGCTATGACTTGGAATCAACTAGAAGGTAGTGGTTTTATAGTTTGTAGAGGGTTTTTATAAAAGGTTGTTTTTCAGATAGAGCTTGGAGACTAGGATGGGAATATATGCATCTCAGGTATGAAGAATTACATGGGTGATGATACAGATATGAATTTTGTGAATGGTAGTGAAAAGATTATCTTGAAAGAAGTAAAGAATATACATAGGAGACTTGTAGGTGATATGTTTGCAAAGGAAGATTGCTCTTATATAATGAATCATTTAAAACTAAAGGCCCATTCTTTTGAATAAATAATATAGCCTTGTAGATTTTGGTTATGGTTTATTTAGTTCCTTCTTTTCGTTCTGTACTATTTACCATGTTGTTAGTGCTGTGGAGTCACTTCCGTTTCAGAGTGACCGTATGCACCACAGAGGGAAACATTGCCTAATCATGAGCCATCATCACAATTGTTGTATTTAAGCCCCTTGTTGAAGTCACTGTGTCAGTTCATCTTCATATAGTTCAATTCATTAAACTTTAACAAGTTCTTTCTTTGTTTATGAAGATGTATTTTGGAGGGAAATTCACTCAATATTATTCTGTTTTAATTTGATAATCAACTAGTATCACTGAAATGACATCATAGTAGCCTTTAATGATAAAAACATAAATTCTGCCAGGGACAGTATGTTTATAGTATACAGTGAACCCTCGTTTATCGCGGTTAATCGGTTCTAGACCCTACCGTGATAAATGAAATTCCGCGAAGTAGGATTCCTTATTTGTAAATCAAATATTTTCGTAGTTAGAGCATAGAGGACATGAAAAAACATCCTTTAGTCACCATTACACTCGTATTACCCAATTTATTAAACGAAAAAGGGAAAATACAGGAAAACATTTTGGACGTTACAATTATCATTTATTATTTATTATATTATTTATGGCATCTAGTTTACAGTATTACATATTTCACATACAGTATTATTATACATAGTTCTTACAAATACTGTAATCAATAGCCTATGAAATGACTTAAGGGATGTACTCTACAGGTGGGTCGCTGTCTTTTTCCTCTGAAGGAGCAGGTGTAGGCAGTGGGTGCTGTTACGCAAAAACCGCGATAGAGTGAAGCCGCGGAAGTCGAAGCGCGAAGTGGCGAGGGTTCACTGTAATTGTATGTGGGCATACATGTACTAGAGCATTTATGCATTTATCTAGAAACCACAGAAGATGAATATATTTTCTTAAGTTAATTTTCTAGATAACTTAACCTTTAAAATAGCAATGGGTATTCTTATTTGATATATTTTATGGTATTCTTTCTAATCTATATTAATTCTTCCTGTAATTTTCTTGTTACAAAAGGAAAAATTTGAAACAAGGATGATGACCTCAAAAGATCTCTGACTCTAAGATTAATATTCTGTTAAATTGTACACAGCATCTCTCAGTCTGAAATTGTGCATTATCTGACTATATATTGACATTTAACTTCACATAACTTACAAAGGCATAGTGTACATTCAATTTTATTTTAATATTATAGATACTTTCTTTGTGCCATCATCTGCACAATATAGGACTGAGAAGGAATGAAGCTAGGGGATATCACTGAAAAGTACAAAGTTTGTTTTGACTGGTAGGTGTTATGATAGCATAAATAACCACCTTAAATCTTCTATTGTTGATGTGACCACAGCAATGCTTGTTTTTTAAAAAAATCAATACCTGCATTGCAAAGCAAGATAAATAACTGAGCCACATGATAGAGAATTTTTGCCTTTGATGAGGACTCTTAGTTGTATTTGTCCGGTGCCAGCAAGTTGGTTCTGATTCATAGCAACCTATGTACAGCCGAATGAAACACTCCTGGGTATGATGAGCAACTAATTGGAGAAGCTGGATTATACGAAGAAGATCAGGATTGGAGGAAGGTTTATCAACAACCTGTGATATGCAAATAATGCACCATTGCTTAGTGAAAGTGAGGAAGACTTGAAGCACTTGCTGATGAAGATCAAGTATGGATTGTGACTCAATGTAAAGCAGACAAAAATCCTCAAAACTGGACCAATAGGTAACATTAGGGTACATGGAGAAAAGATTGAAATTTTCAAGGATTTCTTTTGCTTGGATCCATAATCAGTGCTCATTAAGCAGAAGTCAAGAGGTCAAAGGATGCATTGAATTGGGTAAACCCACCACATAAGACCTCTTAAAAATGTTGAAAGGCAAAGATTCCACTTTAAGGACTAAGGTGTGGCTGATCCAAGTTATGGTAGTTTCAAAAGGCTCATATGCATGTGAAAGTTAGATATTGAATAAGGTAGACAGACAAAGAACCGAAGCATTTGAATTATGGTGTTGGCAAGGAATATTAGTAGTACCATTGGCTGTCCAAAGATCAACCAAATCTGTCATGCAAGAAGTATGACCAAAATGATCCTTGGAGACAAGGATGGTGAAACTTCATCTCATACACTTTGGACCTGTAGTCAGGAGAGACCAGTCCCTGGAGAAGGACATCATGTTGGTAAAGTAGAGGGGCCGTGAAAACGAGGAAGGCCTTGACAAGATGAATTGACAGAGTGGTTGCAACAGTGGGCTCAAACATAACAACAACTGTGAAGATGGCTCTTTTAGTAGTGGCATATATTCTCTTAGTTTGTGTGATATGCTAAGAATTGAATTCATTTCTTTAAATTACCTTTTCAGAACAAACATCTTTGGTTTATGAAACCCATTACATTAATATTTAATGATCAATTTAGATAATCAATATTTGATTCTGAATTCCCTCTTCTTCTTGCCTTTGAGTCAATAATAGAAACTGTTTTCCTTACAGAAAAACTCAAGAGCACTTTCATCTTTCAGAACTATTGATGTCCCATCAATTCCTTCTTGTGAGAGGGCATATGGTTATCATATTAATGAGGATGACACTATTATAAAACATTTTCCACCAACTCATGACAGCACACTGGGTCCAGCATTTTATAAACCACAATATGTAAGTATAAAATATTTTACATAGACAATTGAAAGATTGCTTAACATTAGATATGTTTTTAGCTAATGTACTGCTAACTGTTGCAACAAATAGACCTCTGAATTTCAGTGGCTTAATACAATGCTTATTTTTCCTCATTCATGAATGCATTGCCTGTTGGCAAGTGACTTTACTCCATAGTGGGGGGGTTCAGGGGCCCAGGCTAATTCCATTCATGTTTCTCTCATTCCCTAGAATCTTGATGTCCTCTGTAGCCAGCTGATAGAAGGGAAAAGTTCATGGAGGATTGAGAGTGGGAGGTTTTTATGGGCCAGGCTGGGAAGTAAAGCTCAATCATATAACCACACTAACTGCCAGTTAGGCAGGGAAATATAGTCCGTGTACCTACATGTAAATTATTAGCTGCATCTACCACAATGTATATTCATATGCAATACATGTGAAAAAGCTTTAAAAAGCTCATTGGAAAATTCCATTATCTTTCAATGCCATTTTCCTTTAATTTCTTGAAGCCCTTTAGATACTCTTTTCTTAAGTTTAAGGTAAGAGCATTTTATTCATAAAAGAATTTGAACCTAATAGTACAAGCATTCCATAAACAAGTGTTAAAATATAAGGAACATCACTATGATTAAAAACATCATATAGCAGATCCATAATTTTGAATTTCATTCCTGGCAAAAAGTGAAGCAAAGTTCATTCAGCCAGTTGAAATATATGCTTATCCATTAGTACAGATGGATGAAAATAAATCATGTCTCCCTTTATTTAATTATAAGACATGAGTACTGAATACTTTAAGTCTGTTGTATTTTTATACTTTGGTGAAAACTGGAAGAAACCGTGTTAGTGAAACATTGGTCAATTCAGGCATGTTGTTGGTGTGAGGTGCTGTTGAGTAGGCCCCATATAGAGCCACCCTGTTTACAACAGCACAAAATGCTGCCCAGTCCTGCACCAGCCACACAACTGCTGCTATGGCTAAGCCTATTGCTGCAGTCACTGTCCATCCATCTGGTTGAGGATCTTCCTTTTTTTCTCTGTCCTTCTGCTTTCGCAAGTCCGATATCCTTTTCCAGGGACTGATAACTTGTCCAAACCATATCAGATGAAGTCTCTCTCTCCTTGCTTCTACGAAATATTCCAGCTGCACTTCTTTAAAGATAGATTTATTTGCTCTTTTGGCAGTTCCTTGTATATTCAATATTCGTCTCCAGCACCTTGATTCAAATTCAATATTCCTTATTGAATGTCCACATTTCACATGCATCTGAGGAGATTAAAAATACCATGGCTTGGCTAGATTAACCTTCGTTCTGAAAGTGATATTTATGCTCCTGAATGCTTAAGTGACTTTTTCTTCTGCAGTAGATTTGCCCAATGTAATGTGTCAGTTGATTTCTTGAATGTTGCTTCCATTAGCATTTATTGTCAATCCAAGTAAAATGAAATTCTTGACAACTTTAAATTTTTCTTTGTTTATTGTAATGTTGACAGTTGTTTCAGTTGTGATGATATTTTCTCTCCATTTAACTTTAAGTTACAATCTATACTGAAGATTATTAAATGTTTTCGGCTCTCTTCTTGGCTTTCAGCAGGCAAGGTTATATCATCTGCCTATTGCAGATTGTTAATAAGTCTTACTCCAATCCTGATTGTGGTAGCTACATATATGGTGTCAACTTGAGACTATTAAGTGTAAAGGGGTGGAGGTTAGCCTGTCAATCAGGTCGCAGCTTGATGATGTCATTTGGAGGTACAACAGAGATAAATAGCTCACTGTAGGCCAGATACACTCACTCCCTGCAAGACATTCCTGCTGCCAAACCACTGATGCACCCAGAGCCCTGGAACTAGATGAGTCACATGTAGACTGATGCTAATGCTGAGTTGCTTCCACCACCACTGGATCCACAAGACTTTCCACCCACTAGCCTGTGATCTCCCTGTATTCATCATCATTGCATGGCTGTGTGAGTCTAGAGGAATTTATGAACTAGTGTTAACATATGGGGTAATTTCGGACTTTTGGACTTGATCTGGACTGGGCTGGGATGTTTTCTTAGTGAACAATTGTTCTTTGATATAAAGTTCTCTCAAACATATGCGTGTCTCTGGATTTGTTTTTCTAGTCTACCCGGACTAAGACACTTCATGCCCTGTTGTTCACATAATTCAACTTCTTGAGTTATTTGTTTACTATTCCAATTGAATACATATGATGAAAGATACAGCACAGACCTATACCTTTCCTGATTTTTAGCCGTGCAGTATCCATTCCTTTGTTCATTGTGAGGGACTGACCCTTGGTCTATGTACAGGTTCTACATGAGACAGTGAAGTGTTTTGAGAGTCTCATTCTTAATGTTATCCATACTGTTTTATGATCCATGAGCCACATAAATGAATACCTTTGCAAGTTACTAAAACATGAGTTAAAAAGGATAGAAAGATAGCAGAGAATCCCAGAAAGATGTTTGCTTGTGCTTTGTTTCCTCCACAAAGGCATACTCCTTCAGAGTCCTTTAATCTTTTAGATTCCTTTTTCATTTTCCTTTTTAGCCTTCATAAATTTGGGGACTACTAGGTTAGCTATTTTGGATAGCATGTCTCATTTGTGTATTTGTTGTTATTTTCTCCTGATTAAAAAATAGCTTTACATTTTGTGTACAATAGTACTAAAATGATGTATTCTTTTTATATGTCATATATGCCGGCAGAGGATGTGGACGTATTCCATTACTTGTGATTTTTAATTGGGCTGGTGTCTTCCAATTTTATTTTATGAAGTTAAGATTTTTCCCTCTTAATATATATTTGTCAGGGAGTCACTTTAGTGGCCTAATGCATTGTACATATTTTATTTCTCATCAAACTCTCACCTAGTATTGCAGTGGTTCTCAACCTTCCTAATGCTGTAACCCTTTAATACCGTTCCTCATGTTGTGGTGACCCCATCACCAATACATTATTTTTGTTGCTACTTCATCACTGTAATTTTGCTACTGTTATGAATTGGGCGACCCTGTGAAAGGATTGTTTGACCCCCAAAGGAGTCATGACCCACAGGATGAGAAGTGATTCCTGAGTCATTTTCCTATGATGTTTGTCAAATGGTGAATTTCTAACTTCTTTTCTTGCTGAGATTGTTGATTGAATGTACAAATCATAATCAGTTTAGCAAATAGCTATATAGCAATATCCTTACCTATTTCCAGAGCCTTCTGTCTGTCTAGGGTGAGAATTTTCCACAGTAAGTGCTGATTCCTTTTTGCTGAACTATTCCTACTTTATCCCTTTTCTCTTGTACTTCATAATAAAAAGCAAGGAAAAAAACAGACTGCAACTTCCATATGTTGCTTGGGAGTTTCCTCAGTTAAGTATCTAAGTCCATCATTTACATAAGGTGCCATTGAGTTTTGACTCATACTCACCTTATACACAACCGAACAAAACACTGTTGGGTCCTGTGCCATCATCAAAATTGTTCCTACGCTCGATCCCATTGTTGCAGTCACTGTATCTATCTCATCTAGGGCCTTCCTCTTTTTCACTGCCCCTCTACTTTACTGAGCCTGGTGTCCTTCTCCAGGGACTGGTCTCCCCTCATAACACATCCAAAGTATGAAAGACAAAATCGCACTGTATTTGCCCCTAAGGAGCACTCTCGCTGTACTTCTTCCAAGACAGACCGGATGGTCTTTCAATAATCCGTGGTAATTTCAGTATTCTTCTCCAGCACTCCAGTTCAATGCATCAATTCTTACTCGGTCTTCCTTTTTCAATATCCAACTTTCACATGCATATGAAGCAATTAAAAATACCATGGCTTGGGTGAGGCACACCTTAGTCATAAAATAACACTGTTGCAGATTAGAGCTGGAAACACAGGGAATCCAGTACAGATAAACCCTTCAGGACCAATAATGAGAATGGAGATACCAGGAGGATAAGGGGAAAGTCGGGGGAGAAAGAGCGAATTGATCACAGGTTTGACATATAACCCCTCCAGGGGGACAAACAACAGAAAATTGGGTGAAGGAGACAGAGGATGATGTAAGATATGAAAATAATAATCTATAATTTATCAAGGGTTCATGAGGGAGGGAGGGTGGGTGAGGGTGGGAAAAATGAGAAGCTGGTATCAAGGGCTCAAGTAGAAAGAAAATGCTTTGAAAATGATGATGGCGAGGGGGGCCGCAAAAGTGTGTGTCGGGCTCTGGCTACTGTTATCCCTGGGAGTGACTGTTCTAGGGTGGCCTCAGGGCAGGCGGGGGCCACACCATCTCTGCACCCCAGTAAAGGTGGCCCCTGCAGTCTTGGCTGCGGAGAGGGTGGCGCTTTGTGATGCTCAGGCATCTCCCCATCCCAAAGGTGGCCTGATGGGAGCAGGCTGGGGTCCTTGCTCTGCTCTCCCACAGGGAGGGGAGCCATGCTAAGACGCCAACCTCAGGGACTTGGGTGGCTTGGGTTGGGTTCTTTTGGTACTGAGAGCTGTTCTAAGAGCAGAGGACAGCATGGGGCATTGTCAACAAACCAATTCTGAGTCTCCAAAAAAAAGGAAAAATGATGTCAACAAATGTACAAATGTGCTTGACACAATGGATGAATGTATGGTTTGTGATAAAAGCTGTAAGAGCCCCCAATAAAAGTATTTAATAAACAAAGACAGAAAAGATAAAAGAATTAAATAAAAACAATTTTTTTTAAAGGCTGTTGGTTATTCTCCAGAGTTTTGAAAAGGTTGATTTGGGCATTTTGGGGCCGTTCTCACTGCTTTATGGAAAGCACATTTTCAGAGGTCCTTAACTCTTGCTTTTCCAGCTGACTAATTCTTGGAGTATTAAAATGTTAAAATAAAACATCCCAGAATATTATTAGGTTTCTGTGGAACCTTAATACAAGCTGAATTTCTAGCAAGTTTTATTTTTTTAACTTGGAGTTGAGTCTTTGGGATATCTGTGGATACTTGAAGAAACCTAAATACTTGGGGATACATG